ACACTGCAATTTTTTTTAACAGTCCTTATGTAGTGAAGTACTATGGCAGCTATTTCAAGAACACAGATCTGTGGATTGTGATGGAGTACTGTGGCGCTGGATCTGTGTCCGATATCATCAGACTGCGCAACAAAACGGTAAATAAAAATACAACTATAAATTCACTATACAGCTTCAACACATGGTTAATTACACAATTTCTTTTTCTCTTGACAAGCTCACAGAGGATGAGATCGCCACAGTCCTCAAATCCACCTTGAAAGGTCTGGAGTATCTCCATTTCATGAGGAAAATCCACAGGGACATCAAAGCAGGGAATATTCTCCTCAACACAGAAGGCCATGCTAAACTAGCTGATTTCGGAGTGGCTGGACAACTTACTGTGAGTATTAAAACTATCTGGTTTAATGTAGGGATGCTCCGATCCACCTTTTTCGCCTCCGATACCGATTCCGATACCTAGGGTTCGGTATTGACCGATATTGATCCGATACCAGTGAATCACTATCGGAGCCGATACCCGATATGAATATCTGATCGGCGCATCCCTAGTTTAATGTAGAACTTGCAGTAACTACTAGTTAAAGGTTTGAACATTACTCAACATTTTTATTAAAATTTTCCATATTTTAGAATAATAGTAAAGTAATTAAAATATAAAACATCCAGAACTTTTTGCTTGTTTGTCTGTTTTTTTTTTTCATTGTTATTTGTTGAATAATAAAAAAACAATAAAAATAATTAGTGTAATTCCATAGCTTTGAAATGATATGTATTGTGAAAAGTACATAAATTGAACATGGAAGTGTGGGAATTCTATTGTTTTAAACAAATAAATTTAGTATTTTTAGCTTCTTCAAAAACCGCCTCACTTTTTCTTTATTATTGAGTCCAAATCATCCATTTAAACAATTACATTTTCGTTTAGTAAAAACAAAACAAAAAAATTATAATATATAAATTATTTATATATCATTTACATAAAATTCATAAGCATTTAAGCGTAAGCATCCAAATCCAATTTCTCTCAGCCATGATCATCTAAGATCAATTTCGGTCAAGTGTATCCAAACTGGTCGTGTATATCATGTTTCAACGAACTAATCATGTTTTTTTTATAATGACCACAAAAGGACACAATGGCGAAGAGAAACACAGTTATAGGAACACCCTTCTGGATGGCCCCTGAAGTAATCCAGGAGATCGGCTACAACTGCGTGGCAGATATCTGGTCTCTCGGCATCACATCCATAGAAATGGCCGAAGGAAAGCCTCCTTATGCAGACATTCATCCAATGAGAGTGAGTGGAACAAGTCCTTGATGCGCAATTTTGACAAGAGAAAATGGTTGGTGATGGTGTCTTGTTTTGTCTCTTTGTGTCATCAGGCTATTTTTATGATCCCCACAAACCCTCCACCCACTTTCCGCAAGCCAGAGCTGTGGAGTGACGAATTCACAGATTTTGTGAAGAAATGTCTGGTGAAGAACCCTGAGCAGAGAGCGACAGCCACTCAACTGCTGCAGGTATAGGAAGAGCCAAAAATATTGCTAACTACTAGTTCCTGTCTGTGATTCATACAGTTATTTATTCATTCTCTATTTTATTTTATTTATTTATTTTCCATCGAAGTCGTGAAAATAAACATCTGGTATGCTTTTCATTGTCTATTCTGCAGCATCCATTTATAATCAGTGCTAAGCCGGTGACCATCCTGAGAGACCTGATCACAGAGGCCATGGAGATGAAGGCCAAGAGACAACAGGAGCAGCAGAGAGAGCTGGAGGAGGATGACGAGAACTCTGTGAGATAATTCACCAACGTTGCATATTAGTTGTACAGTGTGTGTTTTAGCTGATGTCGTATGTGACTGAATTGTGCAGGACGAAGAAGTGGAGGTGGATTCCCACACCATGGTGAAGTCTAGTTCAGAGAGCGCTGGCACCATGAGAGCCACCGGCACTATGAGCGACGGTGCTCAGACCATGATCGAGCATGGCGGCACCATGCTGGAGTCTGACCTGGGAACCATGGTGATCAACAGCGATGATGAAGATGAGGAAGATCTCGGCTCGATGAAGAGTGAGCGTTTATGTCTTTTTCTTTACATTAACACTTTTGTGCTGCTTTGAGAAATGTTTAATCTGATGTGTTTTCCTCTAAATAGGAAATCCTACATCTCAGCAAATTCAGCGTCCATCCTTCATGGACTACTTTGACAAACAAGACTCAAATAAAGCACAAGAGGGTTACAATCACAACCAACAGGACCCATGCTTAATTTCCAAGACCGCTTTTCCTGATAATTGGAAAGTTCCGCAAGATGGAGATTTTGATTTTGTAAGTGCTCTTATGGTGTTCTTTTGATTCGTTGTTTATGCATAAAGCTGAATGAAATGATTCACTGTTTGTTTCGGTCTGTGAAGCTGAAAAACCTCGATTTTGAGGAGCTCCAGATGCGCCTTTCTGCTCTGGACCCCATGATGGAGCGAGAGATTGAAGATCTGCGGCAGCGCTACACGGCCAAGAGGCAACCCATTCTTGATGCCATGGATGCGAAGAAACGCCGGCAGCAGAACTTCTAACCGACTTCACAGATGCTGAAGCTTCAAAGCTGGCTGGCCAGATCTTATGTCCCCTCCTGTGTTCAATCTTTGTACTGATGCATCTTATTCTAGACTCCTGCTGTTTGTACATTTGAAGAAGGTCCCAGTGGATGTATAAAACATAAAATTACTATTTTCTTTTTTAATTCAAATTCATAATATTAAGAGTTCATTCTAAACTGAACAAATTATTCACAATCTTAACCAGTCTCACCCTATATTATGACGTTTAGGCTTTTCTTCTCTAGCTTTCAAAATCAAATTCAGCCATCTCTATATCTGTGGTTTGTACTTTCTTAATACTATAAATGAATCCAAGGCAAAAATTACTGTGAAAATGTGAAGTTTTGTGACTGAATTCATAAGAAATGCTGGTTGGACTGCTGCAAAGTAATTTTTAGGTGTGAATGGATTGCTAAACCAAAGACAATCAAAAGTAAAGAATGCCTTCGAGCGCTTGATAACCCTCTTTTTGAAGTTTGCATCACCAAGCTATATGTTAGTATTCTGCTAATATGGGACCATGTTACAGTAGAGATGCCACAGTTTTGTTTGTCATCTTTACTGGTATTAATTTAGAGAGAAACGGGACCATTCCTGCAGCTATGCTTCCAATCCCATCAAAATTCCTCGTCAGCACAAAGTAGGGTTTAAAACATCTGTCCACAGCTTTGTAAATATGCATGGCTTGTTTATGCTGAATGTCATTTTCTCGGTTTCTGTGTGACGTCTTCCCTATGTTCTCTTCACTGCCACTGGCTTCTTGATAACTTGTGGCAAATATTTGTGTGAGGAAGTGAGAACTACTTTTCCTGTGCCCCATTTTAAAGTTCTCACTTTATCTCAGGGGTTGCTCGACTTTGAACGGTCTCTCTTTCTTCTGGTCTTTTTGGTCATTTCAATGCAGTGATTTTGTGTTTCTCATTATGGTAATGGTACCATCATTACTAGGCCTATTGAGTCTCTCCATACCTACCAAAAGCAATACAGCAACTCAAGGACATAGTAATGTAACAATGCCAGTAATGTGAATGACCTAAACCAGTTGCTGAATCTTTTCAGAGAAGGATGAGTTGTTTTAAATAGACATTAAAATGACTCGCAATGTTTATGCCCTGATTGTGGACTGATGAAGTCTATAAATCTGAGTTGGTTTGAAGTATAGTCTGCTAATGATTTTTCTTTTTTACAAAAGCTTATTCATAAAATAGTTAGGGACTTTACCAATGCCTTACATTTCCTGCAGTTGTGAGTTATATCAGTTTTATTTCATACTCTGACATTTATATAGGCACATTTTTACTGAACACTCTATAATTTATTGTGTATTATTCATAATGTATGTTATTTTTTGCACTCTGCCTAGAGTTTTTGAATAAAGGTCTGTTACTTGTCTCCTTGAACCCTATGTGGACTTATTTACCAACAGTTTTTTTATATATTGTTAAATATATGGGGAACACTGTTAAAACACTATAAAATACACAGACAAACCTGGAAACAAAAGGAGCATTTAAATTGAGTACAACAAAAATAATAAAATGTTCTAGTTTTTCTCAGCTCCAAAATATTTTTTCAATTAGAAATTCGTTTTGAGAGCAAATGTCACTATAATTTCAAAATAACTTTTTTCAGTTGCAAAAGCATTATACTTGTTTTATATTATACTACAAGCCATTTATTTAAACTATGAACACTAAAAACTACAATAATTAAGCTACTATTTATGAAATTACATTTAGGCCTACAAACCATAAAAAAACAAAGATATTGAACTTCTTGACAGGTTACACGAACTACCGTAATCACTCAATTACACAGAGCTCTGCTTTATTCTGCCAAGTGATAACTACTCTATTTATACACAAAGACTTGAATCAGCTTGTTTAACCGTGTATGCTTTGTCTACCATTTATTTCCTTAATTTTTTCCCCCAAATATAGTTCCATTCTGTGTGACATGTTATTGAATAATCGTAATTACACATGCAATGTCTCTATATGTGGGTCGTTATGGTAGGAATCGCTGACGCCTACTGGAAGTGAGTCCCTACAAACCTGCTTTACACTCATTCATTATTAACTCAACTAGAAGTTTACGGACAGTTGTGCTTCGCGAGTCTCGTTTGGATCTCAGAGTTGAGAGATGTCTGCGGTTATTAGGAAGATCATTCACACTGCAGCTGCTCCAGCCGCCATCGGGCCCTACAGGTGAGAGTCCGTCTGCCGTCAAGTCAAACCATCATGTTTACGCTCCTCAACAAACCCACACGAGACATGCCCTAGCATATGGATAAGTGTGATTTCTACATAAAGCACCACCAGCTATGCATTTAACAGTCAGCATTGAGCAGCAAAAGGCCTGACATAGGCTGCAGTGCAATATTCGTTCGGGGCGTGTCTTTAGAAAGCGCACTCAACTTTGTGCTGGAGATTTGGTGCGACTTACTTTTCATATTTAAACTGTTTGGACGAGATGAATTCTGTTCAGAGAAAAATCCCATATACACCTAAAGCCCCTATTAGACAGGGCATATACAGGTAAGAGTCTTCTCAGTCACTTTAATGTTACAGAACAATAGCATTTCGATTCCAAACTGTTTAAAATGGTAAAACTGGGATTTTATTTTGAATGCATTATAATAAGATTAGTTGTAACGCTCCATAATACCACCATTTTATAAAAAAGTTTCTCAGTAGCACTGAACTTTAGTAACGCTTTATTTCATTACATGCAAAAAAGACATTTACAGATTTAAGAGCTTTTTTTCTTGCACAAAATGCACTTGAAAGTGGTTAGTTGTTATAATGGGGGTGTTAGTGTTTCAACCAATAGACAGTAAGAGGAGGTGTCAAGTTCATTGACTTGACCAGAGGTCAATGTGGTTTGTTCTGCTTAATATGTGGTTATGTTAAAAAATAATAAATAAATAAAAAAGGGTGCTTCGGAAAAGTATTTCTGACACTAGATTAATGTCATTTTTTTGCATATATTCTATATTATATCCATTTCACCTTATGCTCAGCTGATTACATGATTTAAACCAACATGAATCAATATTGATGAGATTTAATGTATGAGCTGACCTATGATCTTTAATTTCCTTGCAGTTGTGCAAACCTTGTGCTAAAACAACTGGCATTAATGTTTGCATTATGTAACTTACTGAACTTGCTTGTATTAGACACATATTAACTTGGAATTGGTATTGTCTTGGACTATGATCTCAAGCTGAACTTACACTTGATCTTGGTGGTCTAAAATGCTACTGAGTGATATTTTAGTTTATATAATATTCAGTATCCAATTTATGATTAATAATATCCGAATTTACTGTGCCCAACATTAAATAAAGCAAGAAAACCTGATTGGCTGTTGGGCTAGTTGTAACTGCAGTGCACTGGCTGTGCCAGCAGAAGGCAGAGAAGGACAATACTTCCCACAATGCATTGTAATGTACGAGTAAAACATCCTTATTCCTTCCAAAATCAGAGTACACTATTAATTCACATTTTAAATGATATTGTTCCTACATTCAGCCAGGCTGTTTTGGTGGACCGTACAATGTACATCTCAGGACAGATCGGCATGGACGTTAGTGGACAGTTGGTGGCGGGAGGAGTGCAGGCTCAGGCCAAGCAGGTGACACATACAGTGGCCCTTAAATAATTGTTGACATTTTGATGAAGATATTTTCGAATAAATGATTCATTCACAATCATGTATTTGAATTATATTTTAAGTAATTAATATATTAAGTAAATATGGTCAGGTTGGATTTCATGTTGACATTGCTACACAAATTAACAAGTTTTATTACACAAAGTAGCCATTTTCATTAAAAAATCCAATATGGGATACATGTAATTATGTATGTTTCTGTGTTTTTTTCCCTTACAACTCCATAGGCACTCCTTAACATGGGGGAGATTCTGAAAGCTGCTGAATGTGGATATGAAAATGGTAAATCATCAAGCATCACCCAAAAATGAAAATATGCTTAAAATGTACTCACCCTCAGGCCATCCAGGATGTATGCTGCATTGCAAATGGGAACCCAGAGCAATGGTTTGAAGTTAAAAATGTCTTGATGGATTTATTTCTTACAAACATGCAGCTTTTCACTTCAAAAGACATTAAAGGGGTCATATGATGCTTTTTTAAAGATCATTATTTTGTGTATTTGGTGTAACAGAATATGTTGACATGCTTTAATGTTAAAAAACACATTATTTTTCAAATACTGTACATTATTGTAGGTCCTATATGCCCCGCCTCTCTCAAACGCTTTGTTTTCTACAAAGTCCCTCCTTCCGACAAGCGATGGACAGGAGTCGTGTGGATTACTTGTGGATTATCGTGATGTGTTTATCAGCCGTTTGGACTCTCATTCTGACGGCACCCATTCACTGCAGAGGATCTACTGTTGAGCAAGTGATGCAATGCTACATTTCTACATTTTCACATCTTGGATGGCCTGAGCAATTTTTCATTTTTGAGTGAACCATTCCCTTAACATGTCTGTTCCTTACAAATTTTCAAGAATTTTATAATGTGTGCTTTTTTTTTTGCAGTTGTCAAAGCCACAGTGCTGTTAACAGACATTAATGACTTCAATAACGTCAATGATGTTTACAAGCAGTGTGAGTATTAATAAAGCAGTCATAATGGAATAATTCACCGCAGTGTGTCATATACACATACAACCACAGATTTCCCTTACAGTTTTAGTAGCCTTGGTAATTTAGAAAACCTCATATTTGGGAATGACATTGGTGTCCTTTGTTGTTGGAATTAAAAACAATCATGACATTTGTGTTTCCTGTATATCCACCTTATTTGTCAACGTGGAAGTAAGCCGTTTTCTGTGAATGTGCGAGACTTCCGGTTAATAAGCCGCTGTAGGGAAATAGCAAAAAGAATAACAAAGTGCAGTAAACGGTAAAACTGTTTGCACTACAAACCAGTATGTTCGTAATTAAGATAATACATTAAAATAACATGGTAAGATACACTAGTTTGCAATATCAAGCAGCAAAAGGAGCTGTTTTGTACAGCTAAAAATAGCTGGAAACGAATGACACCGGAACCCTTGCACATTAAATTTACAAATGACCACACCCGCTCTTATGGGGAAAATAAGGTGGATACCTTCCCTAAAATTGCTTTACTTCCCATCCTGCACTTTAGTGATAATGCTTTATGCAAGTTATTGATTATTCAAATGTTACACAGATGCCTCTGTGCAACCCTGGGTATTTCCTCTTAAAAACAATGCTGATGGGTAATCCTATCCTGTCTGCGTGTAAAGGGATACAGTGCAGTTCTGTGAAACGAAAGCCTCCTCTATACGAGGACAACCCATCATCACTGCCTCCTACCACACAGAACTTTCCATGATGTAACATGCAAACCTGCAGCATCAACAAATACTCTAAACTTAATTCACGTCATTCTGTCTTTAAAACTTATGATGCAATTAATGATACACACAGGGATAAGAGGCTGTTTTTCATGTCACAAGAACTGCAGTAGTCGACTATGTAAGATGAAGATTATATTTTATATAGCATACAGCTTATAGACATTAAGTGTCAATTTCAACTTTACTGGCAGTTTTGTATACATTTGTCACCAGTAAAAAAAAAAAACAGAGTTTCCCCAAAGTCTAAAAACGTTGGGATTTTTTTATTTTTATTTCTCTGTTTCTTTTCTTTTTCTAAGTTTTCAAGAGCAATTTCCCAGCTAGAGCTGCCTATCAAGTAGCTGCCCTGCCCAGAGTAAGTATTAAAATTCTATCTCTTTATCTATTCCTTCTCTTTCTAGCGTGTACTTATTTGAACAATGTCTAAAAACTTGGTATTACAAGCACTTCCTGTATCCGTTTGCCTCTTTTAAGAAGAATCGCTTTATGTATCCCCCAATTGTAAGTCGCTTTGGATAAAAGCGTCTGCTAAATGTCTAAATGTAAATGTAAATGTATTAAACAGACTAGTTATTGGTGTTTGCTAAGACAACCAGGTAACTACACACTACTCTTCAAAAGTTTGGGGTCAGTAGCTTTAAAAAAAAAACACACACGCACATTAATGATAATCAGTAATGTAATGAGCACCAAATCAGCATATTAGAATGATTTCTGAAAGATAACGTGACAGTGAAGACTGGAATAATGATTACAAAATATATTAAAATAGAAAAGAGTTATTTTAAATTGTAAAAATATTTCACAATATTACGGTTTTTGATCAAATAAATGCAACCTTGGTGAATATAAGAGACTTCTTTCAAAACATTTCTGAAACAATATAGACCAAAACGTTTGAACAGTAGTGCAAGTAAACTTTGGCACACAAGCCATCTCACACTGTTTGAGTTAAGGAAATGAACAATACCTCAAATTATATGACTTCTTGAGGAGAGTTGTGCTATTACTTTACTCTAAGTGGTCAACTTGAGATAAAAAGGGAGGGAAATCCCATAAACCTGCTTTGTGTTTATACCTCATTTGAACTTCACTTTTTGTTTTACAGGGAGGACTTGTTGAGATTGAAGCGGTCGCTGTGTTGGGACCCATCACAGATGCCCCCTGACTATATGACCCCGACATGCATCACACATTGTAAATACAGTTATATGGAGACAAACCGCATCCCATATTACAAAATCAATCAAACTTTTAACCTCCCAAGTCACCAACAGAAAAAAAACACTCTTTTTCTGTTGCCCATTTTGCTAATATAAATATGCTATCGAGAGTTCAGTTCAAAGCCCAGTTCAATTCAACTTTATTTTTAAACTTGCCATTATCACATTAATCTGTCATTATCACATTAAATCAAACCACACCACAAAAACAACATTTCTTCCATTTGTTGAGTTCAATCTGTTGTGTTTGTTGCAGGAAAACATTAGCATACAATAAATAAAACCAAAAAGCCTGTTTTTCAAATATTATGTCCTTTTGTCATTTTAAATGTATATAACATTTAATTTCAGTTGGTTAAAATATTACATAATTATATAAATAGCATTCCACGATTTTCATATTCTCTTTGGCTTTTTGCATTTTTTATAAAGGGGTAAAGCCACTAAAATAGGCACCAATATTAAATATCGATGAAGGAAATCTCTAGCTAAAGCCAGCAATTATAATTCACTAAACTATAACTAGAGTGGGATGTTTGCATTCTGTGTATACAAAGACAGGCACAGAGTCTCTGAAGACCAGTTGGTCTATATCTTGGCATCGAACAAGCAATATCTATATAATAAATAAACTAATGTTCCACTGTATTTTGAAACCATTCATGTGAATCTTTATTTTATTGAAAATAGGTGGTTGAATCTGGATTCTGTAGTAACTGTGCCAAATGATGCGCACTTAACTATCTTCACCAGAGGCTGAAAGAGATGAAGTGGTATGGGAAATCAGACAAGACATTTATCCTCAGGAGAAGATTTTTAGGTCTGTCTTGCATCATATTACCCTACTTACCAGGCACTTCCTCTGGTGGGGAAGATTTAGCCTGGTCCTCAGTTGTGTTTTCTGTGGAAATAGGGATGCATTTCATTAATTTAGGCTCAATTCAGATTCTTTTTTTCCCCTTCATAATGGTTAAAGTAGCCAAATAAATTACATCATCCAAAAAACTGAGAAATTATAAATTCTCATATATACTATAAATGTATCAGTCTTCATTCTGTGATTCTATCTTTTCAGGACACGTCCTGCGTGTTTCTCACGTTGGACTTACTAAAACTAATCAAATAAAAAATTAATATTTAAAATCAGTTGCTGTGTCCAGCAGAGTATTATTTCTTGTTGCTTTGTATTCTGTTCTGTGGTTTGTCATTATGTTATTTGACAATGTCAGAGTTTTTTCCACATTGCACCCAAGACATTTGCATCCGTGGATAAATTGTCATTTACATTTAAAATTCGGGCAGTGAGGCATGCTGTGGCCCTCGCCACATTTAAGATCTGGCCAAAGGAACTACTGTTAAAGATGAAAATAATGCACTACTCCTAATTCCATTTTTTACTGTGTATTCATAATCCTGATATGAAACCGGCCAGTCTAACTGGAACCTGGTTTTAGTAGCCAAAATCTTGTCTTTCTTAAGGTTCAGTTATACTAACCTTTATAAGACCAATATATCTGCTAGAAAGCCTTAGCAAAAAGTTTGGTAAAAAGGGATGGAAAGAGGAAACTTAGCAGGGCAGTGCTGTACTTCTACTGTTGGTCATGGAACAGTTAGTAGAACACTTGTCAGGTTACTTAGAGTTAAACAAACACACTATTACCAGTTTAGACTAGTGCCATCACCTTTTACTTGAAGTGTAAAGGTAAGTATGAATGTGTAAAATGGTGCTTGAACTTTTTTAAATAATACAAAGGTATTCCAGGAAGTCTTCATTGCTAAAGAGAATGTGCAAGATGTTTTGCATCTAGAGATACGTACCTTGAAAGTACCAAAGCCATTTGCATGCACAAGCATAGAACACAAGGTATTATGTACCTTGATCTTGAAGAACTACTGTGAGCCAGTTTTTCCATGAGACTTTGGCTCACTGTCCCTTTAAGATACGGAAACTGGCAGAAAACTTTAGTGTTGGTGTCTGTTAATGTGAAACGTACCACTTGGTGCTGGTTCTTCGGTATTGTCAGCTGTTGTGGAGGGGTTTGATTCGGGTTCAGCAGGCTGGTCAGATGTAATGGCCTCAGCAGCAGCAGCTGCTTCTGGTTCATTGTGAGCTACGGCAGCCACAGAGTTCTGTATTTCCTCCGAGGCAACAGGAGCTGCACTGGATGTCTGTGGAGATTCCTCGGCCTGGGTTTGGTCTGGAATTGTCTCGCTGTCTGCTGCAGGGCCACCGTTTTCATTATTTGTTCCTTAGAGATCAAGACAAATATTTACCAGGGTTATTATTGTTAACTGAAACCATAACGAGAATCACTTGAAATAAAATAAACTTTAACTAAAATAAAATGTAATAAAATAATAAAACAATAAAACTTAAAAACTATTTAGACATTAAAAAAACCTAATAAAAATGACAAAAGCACCAAATAATAAAATTGAAAATATAAAAATAATATCTAAATTCAAAACATTAACAAAAATATAATAGTATATCAATGATACTAAAATAACTTTAAATATTATTTTACATATTAAAATTATTTTGATAATAAAATGTTAAAAATAATAGTGGTTATACAATGTAAATTGATTACATATAAAACAATAATTGTTTTTTTTTTTCACTATTATTTCCCTCATATTATTGATCACGTGTTTAGGCATATACATATTTTAAATAGGGTACATCTAGGCCTGCACGGAGTCAGAACTTTTTCAGAAAGGTTTCCGCAGCACAAACTATATCAATTTCAATACTGAAAAAAATATTCCAATTCGACTTCAGTATACTCAGTTTGGTTCAACATATTTTACTATATTTAAATCTTTTCCACAGAATTCACATTTCATCAACACAGAAATATGAAAATATATTATGTCCTTTCTCTCTTCCCATCTTCTGTGTATCAAGTGTCAGTAAGGTAGAAGACAACTCTTTTTGAGACCCACTTTAAATTCAACAGAAAGCTCTAAACTAAAGCTTGGACTAGTCTACTAAAGAAGCTGCACTGCCTATAATTATATGAAACAAAGCAATACATAGACATTCTGGTTAAATACTGAAAACTAACAACAGGTAACAACGTAACAACAGGTGCTGAAAGAAAACTGATGTATTAAAACAGGAAAACTAGCAGAGGTTTATGACATCGGTCATCTGTAATCTAAAGCACACAATATTTACATACATGAAACCTTCTTCTCCGCTCCATAAGCACACACTTTGTTTAAATGTCATCATGGGCAAGTTGACAAGCATCACCACACTTGAGGGAGCACCTGAGGTGGGGAGGACCTCCTCTGATCACCTAAATGTATTTCCTCAAATTCCAAGAACTCATCCACTGTGATCGTTCAGGAAACAAGCATGTAACATCAACAAAGCAAAATACAAATTTCCTTCATTTGTTTAACAAATTTAAATCAATCCCATTAAACTCTAAATTCTACTTAAATGTACTTGCTCTTTGAATAGCACTTTTTAAAAACATTATTTGATGAATGTTCATGAGATTGCATACATTTTTTTAGAACGCATGTAAATGTATAATTAGGAGGTGTTTGCCATATGGATAAAAAACATCTGCCAAATACATACATGTAAGTGTAACATGGGATCATAAAAACGGCATGCATGCATGCTAATGATAAAAACTATATTATAGTGTTTCTCTGAAAGAAGGTTAATAATCTAAAGGCAGTTATCAAATTGCAATGGTTTTGCTTATGGTTTAAGCTCTGGGCAAGGCGTTTAACCTTAGGTTTCTCTAGGGGGACTTTTAGTGTAATGAATACTGTAAGTTTCTCTATGAGAGACGCTGGAGTCAAGTACATCTAAACTGTATGGCTGACTGATGACAGCATTCTGGATAAGGATCAGGGTGCCTTACACAATGGTTGAGGGTTCAGTTTCAAGTTAGGGTCGGTCATATGCAAACCTGCTCTTATTCCCGGTAACTTTACAGGTCGCATTTGAATTTGCAATGCTAAGACAGCAGCGAAGTTCTGTCCTCTCTGATTAAAATGCTTTGTGTTAAGAAATTATAAGAGACGCTTTATGTTCAACTTCAGTTCTAACAACCAAAATAACAATACAAATCTGATAACAGGTTTAATGAGAAAATGTATTCTAACTTTAAAATATAACATCACGTAGCCTACTCCATGTGTTATTTTGGCGACATCTACAGGTGACATCTGGAGAAGCGCTGGCCAACCCGAACTAGACTGTCATAAAAACTACTGTAAGTCAACATCTTCAGGCTCTACAATACATATTCCTACAGTACATAACTACATCTACAGGGCGCAGAGAATGCTATGCATCCATAAGAAACTCACGGCTAAATTTTTTTAGTTCTATAAGATTCTTTATTTGGATAAATTGTTCTTTGGAGATTGGAAAAGTTCTTTGTTTTAAATTATATCGTTTGCATTAAAATAATGAGGAGACTTATATTTGTGGGAATTATGACAAAATGTTGTCTGAAAAGTGTTTGGGGTATCAAAAATCCCATTTAATATGCTTCAATCATTCTGCATAAAAATTGTATATTAAGGGACCCCTATATATAAGACATGTATAGCCTATAAAAACAAAGAATATAGCGGTGTAGACATTTACTCCTGCCAGTTATTTATTTGGATTTCTTTTATTGTATCTGCAGTGTGTTTTGTTCTTCCCCCTATAAAAGCAGCAATGGGATCATGTTTCTAAACATGCATGCATATTTGTTGCAAAATAACAGGAAAAGGCTTCAATAATATCTGCAGGGTTTTGGTATGAACACACGGTCTCACACACTGTTCAAAATATTAACATTTCAAAATTCTACACCATTTTATTTTTGCAAAGAAGAGCTATAAACTAGTCATTTAAAAAAAATTATTTCAAAAATTATTTTGGATTTTATAAAAGAGAAAAAATTACTTTACTGTATTGCTTTTGAAAGACAACTGAACATGTAACAAAGTGTTTGGCCTCCTAAGAAATACACTGTTTATACAGATTTGTACAAATATTTGTACATCTTCCTCTTAATGGTGTGCAAAACAAACATTTTATATGCCTTTTTAATACATTTCATTGAATTGTGTCCCTCTGTTCTCTATTATGAAATGTTTTTCCCCCTTTTCACAAAGA